TGGATTACAAAGCACAACCTTGGGGACTAGATCTGGTCCCACTTCCTTCTTCTCTGGCTCTTTCCCACTCTTACCCTCTCTGATTCCTGGGAGACAGGAGATGAGCGGCTTTTCTCTCACACACCCTTCCACCTCAATGCTCTGCCTTATGACAGGCCTAAAGTAATGGAGCCAGCCCACCATGGACTGAACCTTTGAAACCAGGAGCCAAAATCAATGTCTCCTCCTTTAAGATGTCACAGCAACAAAAAGCTAACACATTCCCACATCTACACCAGTGTTTAGTACACTGCAGATCAGAATTAGAATTGATTGATTGAATGAATGTGAGCATGTACTCTATATATATGGCTCAAAAAGTTTGGGTTTGTTAACTGTTTGTGATACTGGGGGTCAAACCCAGAGCTTTTCTCATGCTAGGCAAGAGCTCCACCACTAACCTACTCTATCCCCAGCTTTGAAACATAATTTTTAAATTTTGTATCTTGCCATGAGCAGATTCATCTCTTGGTTGGTGATTCAAATGACTATCTTTTTAGTGTTGGTTTTCCTAAGGGTGACCTTATGTTTACAGTGGTAGGTTCATCTTGAGTGTGAGTGGATTTTGTTGTTTATGCCTTGTGCTTTCTTTCTGTGCTCAGCCCTCCCTGCCCATAAGTTTTGCAGTTCTTCCACTCAGCCCCAGGGATGACTACTACCCAAATCCAGAACCAGGTCTTACTTTGGAGGAGGGAGCTTCCCACCCAGAGTGATGGGACTACTGTCGATCTAGTTACAGAGAGAAATGTATCCTGCTATGCAGCTTGCTCTATTTCCTCCTGTCCCCTACAAGGGTTCAGCTTCAGAAAGCCATAGCTTCAAGCAGTGATCAGAGCTGCTCCAACCTCCCTTCATGGTCAGGGCAGGCCCACCAGCCTTTGGTTTTCACAGTGATCTGTCGCTGGGGTCCCACCACATGCAGGCCACTTTGGTTTTCACTGCTCTGTAGAAACCACACTCCTAGTGCTGCCTATTTCTGGACCTACAGCCCAGCAGGCCTGCACTGCGGACCCAGCTTTCAGCAGAGAGTTTCCATTTCTAGCCCACAAAAATGTCCGCTTTGAGTTTTGTTTTGGGTTTTTTCTCCCAACATCTGCATCTTTTAAGTTTAGAGGAAAGAGGAAAATTTTGAGGACACACTCACAACACAGTGTAATGGAGAGATCTGGAGAGAAGGAGGATGTAGCAATAGATGAATCTGTAAATCAAGGTCAGAAATTTAGAAACATCACAATTTTGCTTCAGGGTGGCCCTGCTTTCTAAGACAGGATAATCTAATCAGAGGTGGCAGACGTATCTGCTGAGAAATGAGTGGTACTCAGATGCACATCTGCTACAGGACTATCATACAGAGACATTCTGAAGAGGATGAGGGGAAACAGAAAAAGCATCACAGGGTGCCAGGCAGTCCCTGCAGTTGCCCAGGTTCTGTCCTCATCGACCCCATCCCTTTATATAAAAGAAATGTGATCAGCAGATTAATTGTGATACTAAATCCTAAGTCTTGTCCAAAAGCCCACCATACCTCTTCTTTCATGATTCAGAAACTTGCAATGAGTCTCATCAAGTCCTAGAGATTTCTTAGTTCCTTTTCTTTTGATTTGTATTCATTCTGCATATTAAAAACTTCATTTGCTTTTTTATTTATCACCACATTCTTTGTGCTCAAATGCAGAAGAGAGCAGCAGCCACATCTAAGAATACAAAGTGCTCTCTGTTAACAGTGCTGTTCTCTTTCATAAGAGGCATCTCCAAGCACCCAGTGTTCCTGGCCTTGTATTTCCCGGAGTTTCAATTTCCTGCTCTCTCCATGTCTCTGTCTCCCACCAGATAACAGGCTTTGCTGGTTTCTTTGTTTGCTTGAAGTGCAATGATGTTATTTACACTGAAAAACCTTGCTATTTTACACTTTGGAAATCTTCGGTCCTAACAATCCTCTTTCTAGGTTAGATTTCTTCTGTCTCCATATTTGTGCCAGCCCAAAACTTCAGTCACTGACGCATTTCTGGACAGGAGTTACTGTGGGCGACATTTCTCAAGCCTTTAGGGGTGCAGGAAAAAGCAACATGTTGTCACCTATGTAGTTTCTAGCTGTCTTTCAGATCAATAAAATACTACCTTCTTGACCTTTTCTGCAACAGCATAACCTCACTCCTTTCTCATGCCCTATTCAATTTCCCCTTAAGGAATCCTCACCCCCTTCAGGTAGATTCATATTTTTCCCACACTTTTACCTGTTCCTACAGTAGTCCCGGTCCTACTCCACAATATGAAGGCTTACTCTGTTTGTCCAGTTAATCTATTCTTCCCATTATGTTCTGTCTCCACTTGATCTCAAGAGAAAATTCTATTTTAAAATCTAGTAAAAAAAAAAAAAAACTAATCCACAGAATTCTAGCACTGAAGGTCCTTGTATTTTCCAAGATTATACATTTGAAGATCACACATTTTATAGAAAGAATCCACTTGAGGGGGAAAAAATTAGATAAATTGATGGGTAGATAGTATTCTTATAACCCTGTAGCAAGGAGCCTTTCTTAAATAAGATGTTAAATGCAAAATTAAAAACAAAAAATGAGAAAAGATTGATTGACTTGGCTACATCAAAATTTAGTCCTATATGTTAAAAAAAAAGTCCCCAAACAAGCCAGAAGATAAGTAAAACCTGTTAGGAGAAAGTGTAGGCAACATATTTAACAAAAGATTGTCTTACAGATTAATGAGAAAGTACAAGCAATATAATGGAAATCTGAACAGAATTACAGACAGATGATTCATAGAAAGTATAAATGGCTAAAAACATGAAAAGATGCTCAATCTCACTAGAAACCAGGGAAATGCAAATTTTAAAAAGAATATACATTGTGTCTCTCCATTAGATTGTTAAAAAGAGTTCTATTTTATTAGTGAGGTTTTGCAAGGTTTGAAAACTAGGTACTTTGAGATCCTGCTAGTGTTGTATAAATCCCCACAACACAGCAACCTTCCCTGTTCAAGAGAAGTTCTGAAACATAAGCACAAGGAGATGCATGTGAGGATGCCATGCAGCACTGTTTCTAACAGATACAATTTAGCAGCATTTAACTATTAATAAAGAAACAACAGATAAGCAATGGTATTATATAGTAGTTAAAGGTATATACTTGAGGGCCAATTTAGCTCAGTGGTTCTGCCACCTGCCTCGCAAGCGCAAGGTCCCAAGTTCGATCCCCGGTACCAAAAAAAAAAACAAACCAAAAAACCCAAAAGGTATATACTTGATACATTTGGATCAACATGGATAAATCTAAAGACACCATGGCTAATTTTTTTTTTTTTTTTTGTACCAGAGAGCAAAATCAGGACCTCGTGATTGACAGGCAGGCTCTGTGCTGCCTGGCCCACAGGGCTAATTTAAAAAGGCAAACAGCAATGATAAATGTAAATGAATTGTATACCTAAAATGTACCAATAAAAGAACAAAAAAACCCCATATCATTAAAAAAAAAAGGCAAACAGCAGAGTAATAAGTGCACATGATTTTAACAATCATACATAGATGATACTAAAATGATATTCTGAAAACTCATAGTACTGGTTACCTCAAAGAGAGGGAAAGAAGCATGTGTCACAAATAGGAAGGGGAATAACAGGAGCTATCATTTATCCAGTGCTTACTAAGTGCCCACACAGAATTTAAGTGCTTTACATACATTACTACATTTAATTCTTAAAACTATATCCATTTTCTAGATAAGGAAATGTAGACATAGAAAAGTTAAGTAACTTGCCTAAAGTGGCATAGCCATATAATTGATAGAGTTAAACTTGCTTCTAGGCATTCTGGTTTCAGCCCTTCACATAACTACAGTACCATAGTACCTGACATACCTGACATATGACATTGAGGCAGTGAGACAGTGCTCAAAGAAAGCTTCTTTCATAAACATGTTTCTTACACATATGCACACGTTATATGTACACACAAAATCAATGAAACAAAATACAACAGCATGTCGACAGTTCTTATTTGAGGCTGGTAAGACTGATCAATTTATTTTCGTTGCATTATATATTTTGTGTTTTTTAAATTGCTGTTACAGGGCCGGGGATTTAGCTCAGTGGTTCCGCTACTGGCCTCGAAAGTGCAAGGTCCAGAGTTCAATCCCTGGTACCAAAAAAGACTTTAAATTGCTGTTACAAACCTATAATATTTTCCTATTAATTTTGTTAGTTTCTTTTTATTAGTATATGTTTGTGATACAAAATAATTACATACATCTTGGGGAACTGAAATATATATATATAGTTAAAGTTTTATATTCAATAGAAAAAACAGTTATTGCTATATGTTAGATGGAATCACCTCCCAAAGGAAAAGAATAAATGAATAAAAGAAAAGAAGGACAGAGGGAGGGAAGGAAAGAAGGAAGGGAAGAAGAGAACAAAAAAGAAAGAGACGAGATAGTGATGAATCTCACAACTCTGGTTAATCAGACACTTACAGGGCTCCAAACTCCCTTCTATTATCAGGTTTTGTCTCATCCCATGTGGAGAAACAGGAGATTTAAAAGGTCGGTAAATATCTGGACTTGTTCTTCCTGTCCACTGTCATGGGAATCTCCAGCCCAAAATCATCTACAGAGAAGTCTGCTTTCAGACAAGCCCTCTGCCCTTGAAATCAATTCGTAACCCACAACATTTTGTTCTGTCTCATTACCCTCAGGATTTGCCTGGCCTGCACACATCTTCATTGCTTGGCTCTAATGGAAGGAATAGGCAATTCCAATCAAACTGCAATTAAAGCAAGGAAGAAAAGAAAAGTTATTCTTGGCTCTTAGTAAGCCTCCATCCACCCATTGTCACCTAGGACCTCCCAGAGGGCAGCAGGGCTCATGGGTCTAACAGCTCGTGACTTCATCATCTTTACTTTATGGGAAATCAGTTTTCCTAAAAAGGTAATCAAGAAGAGAAAACCTTACCAAATGAGCTAAAAAGAAATTCTTCACCAGGAACCACTTTTAACCTTGTTTTCATTGCGGAGACAGCTCTATGCCCAAGCACAGAAGCCTCAGCCATGTTCTTAGACCTGACCAATCCTCTAGGAGCAGCCAACCTCTTAGTGGGTGGAGTAATGGCCGAGGGAAGCAGGATGGGAGCGCCCCCATGTGGTAGAAGCTTTCCACTAACCTTGATGGGGCTAATGGCCTTTGGCCCACTCGCTGGGGTTTCTCAGGTGTATGCCCATTCACTTATCTTCTTTGTATAGAAGTTTTTTGCAGTGCTTCTGGAGTCATGTTTTGTGATAAAAGTTCTTGTCTTATAACATTGATTGTGTTATGATGTGATTGTGGCCAGTGTTAGCTCAGAATCTCTTCTCAATGATAGTACAATCTGCTTATTCCTGCTTTTGTCAACCCACATTACACTTCTCATGTGAACTAATTTTACAAAAGTCCCTCCACCCAGGGAGCTGTGTTACAACTAATTTAGTAGTACTGTATCTGACTTTCCCAACAGTCTGTGACCCAAGAGAGAAACAACTCTAATGTATGCCACTCACCCCAGGGCAGTCCTTAGAAGAGGCCATCCAGCCCTACGAATAAGAACAAAATAAACCCTTATGGGTTGGGTGCTCGTCCCTCACCTCCACATCTTACAAACACGGAACACAACCCCTCAGCCTCAGCTTGTGGTATTCCCTCCTCCTCTGTCTTAGGAACTCCTTCCAGATACAGAGCAAGCCTTGAACTTATGGGTTCCTGTTGCTGCTGCAGCACATCCTGCCATCCCCAAGAAAATATCCTTTCTATGGAAAAGTAAAATGACTGAAATTAAAAGGAAATCACAGCTGGAGAACATTCTGCACTTATATATGATAAAGCATTTATATAAACTATCTGCCTGATTGATAAATAAAGATTGTTCCCAGAAGAAGGAATACTAATGGGCAACAAATATTGGAAACACTTCACTTTTTAAAGATATACAAATTAAAACAATGTAATACCTTTGATCTATGGCATTAATAAAGATGTTTTTACATGCTTGTATACCAAATGTATTCACAGTAAAACTGGTACTAGAAAATTGGCTTTTGAAACAATTTAGAAAAATAGTACTAGAAGCCATAAAAATTCATACCCATTCACTTCTCAGATTGATGCTAAGAGATACACTTCTCCGATTGATGCTACAACATACAACAAGGAAAAAGTTTTATGCACAAAGATTTTTATTGAAATATTATGCTAGAAACAACCTAAATAATCAATATTAAGAGATCAGTTACTACCAGGTGTTTTTTTTTTATCTTAATGGTTCTCACTTCTGGTCACATTAGACCCACTCAGAATGTTCTATTTTTCACAATAATGATGGCCAATCCTCATATCAGAACAGCTGGATCAAATCTGTAGGACAAGCTGGGCACGGTGATGCATGCCTGTAATCCCTGCACTCTGGGAGACTGAAGCAGGAGGACTGCAAGTTCAAGCCCAGCCTGGGCAACTTAACAACTTAGCTAGACCCTGCCTCAAGATTTAAAACTTTTTAAAAGGGCCGGGTATGTAACTGAGTGTGAAGGCCCTGGGATCAATCCCCAGAATATAAATAAAGTCTAGTGTGTAGAAAAAAAGATCTCTGGATGTGGGACCTGGACACACTTTTTGTTTTTCTTTTTCTTTTTTGGTTCCAGAGATCGAACTCGGGTCCTTGCACTTGCGCAGCAGGGCGCGAAACCACTGAGCTAAACCCCTGGCCCTGGACATGTGTTTTTTAAAACTCTCCAAGTGATTCTCATGGGCACCTAGGGTTGAGACCGACTAACCTAAGAAAAATACAATAGATTGTTACGCAGGAGAATATTATACAGGCAATAAAACTTTCAAAGTTTGAAAAAATTTTCATTTTGAAACAGCTCTAAATCTACCAAAAATTTGCAAGGAAGATTGGCACAAAGAACTCTCATATACCTGTCATCCAGAGACTGTTCGAGTTTAGCTAATTGGCACAGAAATACTCCTTTAACCAACAGAGTCAATGGAAGATTTCACATTGTTCCTAGTTGTAACTTTTTTGACTTTCATGACATTAACTTTTTAAGATTATAGGACATTCAATAAATAAATAAATAAATAGATTATAGGACATTCAGCTGGGTGTAGTGGCACATCCTGGCACTTGAGTGGTTATCCCAGCACTGGAGAAGCTGGGACAGGAGGATCTCTGTGAGTTCAAGGCCAGCCTGGGCTACGTGGTGAGTTCACTGAAGTCTGAACTACATAGTGAGACCCTGTTTTTAAAAAAAACAACACTAGAGGACATTCATTTTTGGAGAAATTCTCTCAATGTGGGGATGTCAGGGTCCTCAACCAATGGTCAACTTTGTAATCAGGCCTAACTCTTGTCTGCACCATGGATTTGTTAGATTTTCTCCTAATTAGACTTAGGTAATGTATTTTTAGCTGGAATATCCCAGATGTTGTATGTTTTTCATTGCCACTATTGGGAGGAACACAGCATTTTTGATATTTGACAGCTGACAGCTCTCACTCTCTACAGCCCTCTCTTTCCCTGCTGCCTTACATCTGGCAGCTGATAAGAAGGCCTGTGTGTTCCTTCTGTGGTACAGGTGGAAAGTTCAAACCACAGGAGCCCTGGCCCACACCAAGGAGCCTCCAGTCTGGCTCCACCTCATGAACCATGTTAAAATCCAAAGCCCATCGCTGCCCTTGCTTTCTCAGGCCTTTTCAGACCTGGTGGTCCCCTGTCCTACTCCCCCAGGAAAGCAGCAATATGTGAGTAACAAATCTCACCTACCCCTTGGTGTGTGTGTGTGGCATCATTTGTCCTAATCTCTGAACTGGTTTTGGTAAGCAATATGGTTTAGATACAGAATTTCCCCCCAAACTCTCATGTGTTCACAGGCAGTGAGCTTTTGGAAAGTGGTGGGATCGTGGAGGTGCTCGTATAACTGACTTTGTGTTAGGAGGTGGGCCTGGTTGGAAGTGGGTCACTGGGTGCGTGACCTGGAAGGACACGTCTCCCTCCTGATCCTCTCTTCTCTCTCTCTGCAGCTCCTCTCTGGGCCTGGCCCTACTACCATGCTGTTTCTGCCTTGGAGCCTGCATCTGAATCTACAATGCAAAAAAACCTCTCCTTCTTTAACTTGTGGGAATCAGGGTATTGGGTCTCAGCAAAGAAAATGACTAAGACAGTAGGGGAAGGGAACTCCATCTCACATGTACATAAGTTCATACTCCAAAGGGTGGGAAGCTACATCAAGTGTAAAGCACTTACCTAGCATAAGCAAGGCCCTGGGTTCAATCCCCAGAACCACATTTTTCAAAATGGGAGGGTGGGGGATAAATATTCATTACTGTAAATACTAACTCCACTGGGTCAAGACATTGTATGCCAGAATTCTAAAACTGTGAAGTCATGTTTCCCCTGTTTTAATCAATAAATATTTTGCAGAAAAATAATCTGAGTCTATGAAAATCTCATTCTTCACCCCACTTTTCCCCACTACTTTGGGTATCCATTAAAATTAATTACTGTGACTGTTGCCAAACAGAAATGTTTTTGTATCTTTAGTCCTTCTGCATTTATTAGTTGGCATTCTGCAGTAAACAAAATTTCTCTTGTCTTCCCTCTTATTTACCCATTTATTCTTTTACTTCTCTCAGTGTGGAACCACATGTTCATATTTTATTCTGTGGTTTATATCTGTAACTATCATTTATTTTGATTCTTAAATTACCAGATTCAGGCAATTTATTCCTCTTTAAAATGGCATCTGAGGGCTTTTGCTAGCCATTATTGTTTTAAGATTTCTTTGCTTTCTAGCTCAAAAGATATTCAGGTACATCTTGTACTTTGCCTGGCTCAACCCTGGTATCAGCTATTTATCCAAGAAGCCCTGATTCCTTTTAGGGATAAGCGAGAGCAAGAAGTCGATATCTTGATTTCTAAGTGTGCTTCTTATAACTGGAGTGTGACAGAGTTAGGATATATATGCATGTATACACACAAACACACACACACACAGTCTCTATATATTTCTGTACCTACGTGACATAAAAACCCTATGTTCAAACCAGTACCACAAATTCCAGTGCAAGAATATAGATTATTCTTATTTGCTTTGCTTTTTCTCTGTAATTCTACTGAACTCCAACAATGACAGGACTGGCTTCTATTATCTAAATCCCCTGAAAAATCTATTTCTAGCCAAAACCCTCATATAACCTGCCTCTACAAGCTGCCTAATTTGGTTGGATCTGCCTAATGGTTTTGTTTCATAGCTTTATTGAGCTATAATTGATATACATTAAACTGTTTATATTTAACTGCACAATTCAGCACACATAGTACAGGTAGCACACTGGAGCAATGGGGCCACTCCCCCTCCATCCACCTGAGTTTAAGCAACACCCCAGGGCCAATCCTCCTTCCTTTGTCCTAAAATAGTGATGGTGAATCTTTTAGAGCTTTCAATGATACCTTGCCAAGGGCTGGGGATTTAGCTCAGTGGTGCCACCGCCTGCCTAGCAAGCGCAAGGTCCTGAATTCAATCCCCACTATCAAAAAACAAGAGAAGCAGAAATAAAAGTAACAAGGACCCAGGAGATTTCTAAAGCTCCAAGTCAGAGCATATGTGTGTTACATCTTCTGGCCTGACCTTCACTAACCTTTTCCCTGCTGTAATCTGGTTAAAGGTTCCTACATGTGGGGCCAGGGCTTCAGCCTCAGTGGTTTTGCCGCCTGCCGCGCAAGTGCAAGGACCTGAGTTCGATCCCCGGTACCAAAAAAACAAAACAAAACAAAAAGGGTTCCTACATATGATGCACCTCCGCACCTCATGTATGATGAAATCAAATCAGAGTAAACTCTGGGAGCAACATTTGTACTGTGGTGCCCCTGAGAGGACTGCACACCCTGTCAATCATCTTATCGCTCTTGTCCAGAGAGCCAATGAGAGGCCCCCAGAGAGGGGCTCACATCTTTTAAAATCCAAAAGCCTGATTTATCTGTATACTTATTTTCCTGCCACCCCCATCACCACTTTTCTG